TTCTGTGTGCACAAACAAAATAAATCTTAAAAAAAAAAGGTAGCAAGAGGAAAGGATAGACATTGTATAATGATTAAAGAAACAATACAACAGTAAAACTTAACAGTCATCAATATGTACTTACCAAATGAAGGAGCATCAATATATATCCAGAAATTATCATTAAATATGAAAACAAATACTGGCAAAAATGCACATGTAGTTGGAAACTTCAACATACCACTTTCACAAATGGATAGAAATGGGACAGAAAATAAATACAGATAAAATAGCTCTAAATAAAAAAACTAGAACACATAAGTTTTTAGACATATATAGGGTAGGGAACAGCATACCAAACAAAGCTGAATACACATTTTTCTCAAGTGGACACAGATCATTCTCCATGATTGACCTCATACTGGATTACATTATTAATAGTAACACAGTTACAAAGAATAAAAATCATATCAAGTGTCTTAGCTGACCATATCAAAGTAGAAAAAACTATGAAAAGAATTCCTCTAATATAGAAAGACTAGGGAACATACCACTCAAAGCCACTTGGTTAATGAAGAAAATAAAGAAAACATCAAAAAGTACCTTGACAAATGATAGGGAAGACACATCTTTCTAAAATATATAGGACACAGCAAAATCAGTACTAGGGAAGTATATAGAAATAAAGGACCACATCAAGAAATAAGAGCCCAAATTAACAATCTTGTCTCTTATAAAGTAATTCTTAAAAGAAAACCAGAAACCCCAAGTTAGTAGAAGGAAATAAAGAAAAAAAAAACTGAGCAGAAGGAAATTTTGAATAAAATTTTCTATGAAAAACATCTGTATTCATTTAGAGAATACTGAGTAAATTAATTTCTAAATCACATGAAGCTTTGGAGATGAAAACTGAACAAGCAGTCAGTTTACTAAGAGTAGCAGGTTAGTTGAAATACTTCCCGAAACTGACCTCTGCCTTCCAGATCCACAGTGAGCCCCTGCTTCACATGGTCCTGGATCAACTGAAGTGTGTGCTCAAAAATTTCCCCTGCTCTTGCTGTCTCCACTGTAAATGGGTCTCGTGGATAACGGAACAGAGCCAGCAGATCACTGGGATTGCGAGGTTTTCTGAAAATGACAAGATATTACTATTTGCAAGACAAAGTGGGTGGAATCTTAATCACATATCTGCTGAGCATTTAAGAATATGGTTCCTAAAATTTGAGAATGGATGATTTGCCACCAGAATACCAATTTTACAGAGTGCTATGTTTCTTGCTTTAAATGTAAGCAACAGTGCTGAACTCAAAAGATAAGATTTAAATTAATTAGTCATTGAATTAGTATTTTTCTTTTTATATGATTTATTTATTTATGCATTCAGAACTGGCCAGAGGTGCAGGGGTGGTAAGAGGATTCAACAGAGACAGAGTGGGAAGCAGAATAGGCAGATTGATGAAGTAACCTGCTGAGGGGAGCAACAGGAGGTCCAGGAGAGGTCTGCAATGCCATGTGGATCACCTCTGGGGCAAGTGGGAATTGACCTCATGCTGAAGTGGCCTTAGCCTCCCAGTGCTGTGCTTAACCTGCTGTGCCACCAGGGAGGGGCTGACTTAATATTTTTCTATAAAATCTAACATCTATGGTGGGAGTTCTAAATGTGTAGGATGCAAGCATATATTCTAGGGGATTCAGTAAACTTTTCAAAGCAGCATTAAACACTTAGGTTGTGGGTCTTGGCACTTTCTATTCTTTCTTTCCCTAAATTTAGCAGCCTGAAAATTTCTCTGAAGGGCTGTTCTCTTCTCTACTTCTATATTTTAAACTTCAATTCTAAAATTACTGGCATGTTAATCTCTTTTACTAAAGAAAAATTGTCTTCTGAATGGGACAGTGATCTTGTTTACCATTGTATCTGAAGTACCAAGCCTGCTGATCAACACATTAGTCATTTAGACATATCCGGAGAGTTAAATAGATTAAAAAGAATCTTAGAGCACATGGAACAACTGTGCTGGCACATGGTTGAATTGGTGGTGGAAAACCACAGGGGTTGCAACCAAGATGAAAAATCATACATTGTACAAAAATGAAGAGCATTGTAAAAATTAAAAAAAAAAAAAGGTATCTGAGATTTGGGTCAACTGAGACACTGTATTTCATGCCTGGGATCATAATAACTACTATCATAGATAAATAGTAATGATATTAACAACTCATTTTAATTGAGTTATTTTTATGTGCTAGACACTGTGAAACACTCTATTTCTATTAGTCAGTCCTCCTGGAAAGCAAATCTGTTTTACCCAAGTTTTATATGCAAGAAGCCTGAGGTATACAGATATTTAAACTTCCCCAAATTCACCCAGATAGAAAGTGATGGAGTGAGGACTCACAAAAAGAATATAAATAGGTTGTATGACTCGAGGACTAAAGTTCTTGAGGACTAAAGTTCATGACCCCACACCATCCTGTTTGTGAACAAACAGTATTTGATTATGACACGTCAAGGTTTTTCTTTCTTACAAAATATTGTAAAATTATATATTTTATTTGTCTATGAAGACAATCATCATGTTTTCCTTAATGTATACAGGTGTTGCAAAGCAGCTCAGTTACTTTTATCAGGGGACTGGACATTTTTCTAGTCCAAGGAGAGTATGACACATATTAAGACAAACCAAAGTGCTACATATCCTAGCAAAAATTGCCACTGCGGGTCAACAGTTTATAGCCAAATGTTCAATATGACAATCACACTGAATCCATTGATTTGTAGGAACACTGACACTGACTGTTAGTTGTTGGCATCACAGACTCCACTATGTGATATTTACTTGGAGGTCATACAAAGTGGGTCTGTGACATAAATCACTGCCTACAGGAAATAATTTCCCTCTCTTTGTAGCTGCCTGACAATGACAGTGAGCCCAGGGAGTGACACATTCACACAGACTGAAGAAAATACACTTTGGTCCACTTTTCTTGTTGTGACTTAAAAATTAAACAGAACTGAAGTGAAACAATTTTGTAATAAAAACAAAATAAATTCTTACTGTGAAAATAAATGTCTTCGTGTGGAGTTAATTGCACTGTCAACTCTCTGTACAGCATCAAGAATGGATGATTCAACAAAGTCATCACCAGCTTGTCTTCCCTGTATTGCTTTGAAAATCAATTCCATGATTACAAATATGAAACAAATCTTCAAGTTAGGAGTAATGTGAGAAAATGATGTTACAATAATATCTAAATCAATAAAAATGTAACATTGTGTCCACATGATACTATCCATTGCAGAGAGATAGGTAATTTACTCTGAAACAATACCAGCATTATTTGGGTAGTTAAGCACTCCTAAATATGTTTCTTCCAAAACAGGTAGAACTATGTGAAATATTTTATTTTTTACAACACTGATACCAATGAGATTCAAGTGTGCAATAATTCATTTTAGGGAAGTTATGAAAAGCATATCTCTTCACCCACCTTTTTTTTTAATATTAAGCACTAAACAAGCCATGTCTCTATGGAACAAGGGGAACTGAACTTTCAGGAAATAATTCATGTGGTTTCTATAGTTCTTTAACTTATGATCTGTCAACATGAATATTATAGATATAGGAAACTTTTCATTTAATGTTGACTATACTCTACATATTAAATCTTCTTCAGATGAAATATAGCCTTTAAAGGGAGAAAAAAAGATGCCCCATGAAACATCATTGATAAATATTTAAAACACAAAGGAAAAACAATAAATATAAGTATTAATCTGTATTTTTTCTATTATTAAAGGGATGATAAAATTTATATGAATTTAAAGCAATAACTTTTTAACACTGTTAAATACTGAAAACATGTTTAGTACATCTTTGAAAATAATGTTATTAAGGAAAAATAAGGCATGAAACATGCAAATGTACAAAAACAACCTAGTATGAAATTACATATATATATATATATATGAGTTTATATACTATTAAATATGTATATAACAAAATATAAAAATATATATGTATTTTTAGACTTGACTCCTACAACAAGGAAAACAAAAGCAAAAATAAACAAATGGGACATTAAACTAAAAAACTTATGGGCGCTGAAAGATGCCATTAAAACTGAAGTACACCCTACTGATTGGGAGAAAATATTTACATATAATAGATATAATATCCAAAAAACTCATACAGCTCAACAAGAAAACAACCCATTCCAAAATTGGGCCTAAGACCTAAATAGACATTTCTTCAAAGAAGACATAACAGGCACATGAAAAATTGTTTATCATCACTAATCTTCAGGAAAATGTAAATAGAAAAACCACAATGAAGTATCACCTTATACCTGTGAGAATAATCCATATCAAAAAGACCAGTAGCAAAGATGAACACTCCTGCACTGCTGGTAGTAATGTAGTCCGGTCTAGGTCTCGCATAAATTCATATAGAGGTTCCTCAAAATAATATATATACATCTCAAAATAAATCCTTCAACACCACACTTGTTATCCACCCAAGGATTCACAAAAATTAATTCCAAAGGGCATATGCATTCCTAAATCCACTGCAGAACTATTTACAAAAGTCAAGTTACAGAAACAAGAAATATATCCAATCACAGATGCATGGATAAAGAAGATGTGGTAGATACACACAATGGAAAACTAGTCAGATATGAAAAATGATGAACTTTTGCCATTGCAACTACATGGATGGAACTGGAGGAAAAAACGATAAATGTAATACCTCAGGAGAAAGACAAATACTGGGTGGTTTTACTTATGTGAAACATAGAAAAATAAAGCAAAAGGTGAGACAAAGCTAAACCAAAAGAAACCAAAGAACTGCTAAACTTCAGATGTGAGGTTGCAATAGGGGCAGAGAGAAGACAGAGTACAAAAGGAGAAGGAAGTAGAATAAAGTATTTTGAAGGACTCTGGGTATGCGTTGGGTGGGGTGTAACATTTCATCTGAAAGGGTGTGAACCTATATCTCTCAATGTTATGTGGAGTGTAAACCAATATTACCACAATGGAAAATAATGAAGATCAGAACTGTCATTATTATGACCTTACTTTTAAGAGTCTGGAAGGATGGTATTTCCTTTTCTAATGTAAAATAGGTTGAACCGACTATAAATTATCCAGATAACTGATTGAAATAAAAAAATTAGCTTGATTATATAAAACTATAACAAGTGACTAAAAATAGGTTATATATATATATATATATGTACATACATATATATTGTATATACATTATATATACAAATAATAAAATAGATCTCAATATTTTCAATTCCCAACCCTACTCATAATTAATATCTTTGTAATGCATTAAGAAAATATATATTGGGCCCTCCCTGGTGCTGCAGTAGTTTAAAGCACAGCATTATGAAGTAATCCCAAGTCATTGTGGGCAGGAGTTCAATTCCTGGATGTGGAGGTGACCCACATGGTGTGGCAGACTTCTCCTGATTCACCGGCTGCTCCCCTCAGTATTGTGTTTCAGTAGATCTGCCTGTTCTGCTCCCTACTCTGTCTCTGGTGAATCCTTTCACCACAACCCCCAACACCTTTGACCTGTACCCTGGTTCTTATATGCATACATTAATAAATCTTTTAAAAAATGAAAACATTTATTAGCCATGTTATTAAAGGGAAGCTCTGATAATTAATGTGCATAACAGATGGTCAAAGTCACTTCAGAAAATGGAATTTAAAGTACCAATACTTACTTATAGCCTTTATAACTATGAAAAATTTAAAATATTGATAATAGCAAATTTTGAAAGGTTTAAGATTTTTTAATGATTTTGTTTTATTTTTATTTAGTGAAATTACATGTATGCACACTCTCTCTCACCCAGCAATCCTTTTGCATTTCTTCATCCAGAGAAATGCACATGGAAATGCATAATGACTATAGATCAGAATATCCATTGCAATTTTATGTGGAATGGGAGGAATGGGAGGAAATTATATAGCAATGGAAGTGTGTATGGTTTTATGGACAGATGCTAAAAATAGTGTTTAATATAAAAAATAGTAAACTGAAATTACCATAAAGTGATTTAGCTAATTTCATTATAGTTATTATAAATACAATGACCATGATGAAACTGGGGTTTGATCATAATAAAGAATGAACTAATAAAGTAAGTAGTTAGACAATGAAATCCTACTCAGTGACCAAAAAGATAATTTTTTGTCAGTTGCAGTAACATAGGTGGTGATGGAAGGGATTATGCTAAATGAAATAATTCAGAAGGAAAAGAGTTAAATATGCCACATGTATATATAGACCATTGAAAGCAAAACAAAGTATAAAGAAAAATAAAAAGACAAAACTTGCAAGGTGACCATAAATCTGAGTTATACAGCATGAGAAGAGGAAGAAAGGTATCAAAATGGGAAAGGGAAGAGCACAATGGGCTTTATTGATGGATCACAGGTACGGTAGGGGTGTGAGAACTACAGAGACTACACTGGAGAGGAGAAATAAAATATGATCCCAAAATTAACAAAGATGTAAGAAAATAAATTAAGTGGGAAATCAATCAAACTTCAATGATTGAGAGAAAATTGAATATTTAATTAAATGTATCTGGTTGTGAAGTGGCAAAAAAGTAAGAATGATTCTACTTTATTCTATTGCTTTTACTTGGAAAAAAGCAACTGAGATCAATCAATCTATACTGGTATATAAGCTGATTTGATGTTTCGACTAACATGTTAGCCTTTTCTCTAATAGCTCTCCTTCTTCCTCCACTTCAAGTATGAGGCATAAATCATGTGTTCATACACATGATGGTTACTGCCATCATCTCTTTGTGCATTATATGCTATCCAAGTCAACTTGTATTTGGAAGAGAAAAAAAAAAAAAAGTAGGTGAGATTGAGATACCACAGCACACAGTGTTATTGAGATGCTACCTGTTAAAAGGCTGGTCACTGTGGAAGAAAGAATTTGGGAAGTGATTTTTAAATTTGAGGAAAACATTTTTTGGCAGGTTAGTCTGAATTTTATTTGTTTGATAGTTTTGCTTTGATTGTATGTTGTAAATTAAATTTTACTATTATAGATATAAAAATTTATAAACATAGAAGTGTACATATTTTCTTCAACTGTTGACTCACTCATAAAATGGAAATATTAAGACATCTTTAACATATAATTGAAGTCTGGATAGTCAACAAATTTGGTTATAACATAAAAGAGATTTCAAAGATTTTTGAAAACTGCATGTCACAGTGCATGTTCACATAGTAACCAACTGATACTGTGTTATCATATCATACTTTTTATGTGACTTTCTATTTCCCTGTATTAATAAAAACAATTGAGATTCATAAAAAGGAGAAAGCAACACAAATTTACATAATATGCAAATATTCTTTGACATAATAAAATTCTAAAGGGCACAAATAAAAAACTCATAAAAGTTGTTTGCACACAAAATCTTAAAACTACACTTAATATATAATATTTTCACATGGAAAATATTCTTGGAAATATTGTCTTTCTCACTTTGATGTAATTTTAGTTATGAGCTTTGATAAAGTTATATACTTTTAAATTTACTTATTCACTTAAATATCGTATTATTCAGTTTGGTACAAATTGCAAAAAAAAAAAATTCTGCAGAACAGCAGTGTATTCTGTAAAGCATATTCAGTTTATTGGGGCACATCAATATCTTATTTGTCTCAAAAACATGTCAATTAATGTCACAAGGGATAGAATGATAAGCATATTCTCAGTATATTTTTTATTTTAATGCAAATTCTTCAGAGGTAGGGAAAGAATTAAATTAATTTCCTTTCTTAAATCTTAGGGTGAATGAGAGCCATCCCTGGTGGCGCCACAGGTTAAAGCACAGCACTAAGAAGCTGAGGCCACTTCCACATGAGTTCTACCCCCACGTGCCCCAGAGGTGATCCCGGCCAGCTGCTCCCCTCAGCAGTATACTTCTACAATCTGCCTGTTCTTCTCCTCACTCTGCCTCTGGTGAATCCTCTCACCGCCCCGGCACCTTTGGCCGGTACCCCAGTTCTGTATGCATAAATAAATCTTAAAAAGAAAAATCTTAGGGTAAATGAAAAGGAATAAGGCCCCAGTAGTTTCAAAATTAATGTATTGAAAGTTGTCTATTGAACACTT